GCATAATACAACTGCCTAGTACGATGTAAAATGAACTCAGCTTTGGAGAGAGACAGTTTATTGTATTCAGATCTCAAAGCCGCAAGTGAAGAGGGACTGTCAGAAGGATTTTGTTTTTGTCTTGATTCCAATAGGTTAATTTTGGACTCTAAGTCAACAAATCATTTATTTCTAACAGTATTAAGATTCGAAGAAAAAGAGATGCAAAAACCCCTTATAAAACATTTTGTTGCTTCCCAAAGAATCTGAGGGTTATCACATTGTGCACTGTTAATCTTGAGAAATTCTACCAACTTTGTGTTTATTTGCTCTAGAAAGGTATCATTCAGTAATAAAGAGACATCGAAGCGCCATCTTGTGGCTTTTGTTTGTATAAATTCAGGAAAAAGAAGTGAACACACAACAGGAGCATGATCTGAGAGCAAGATGGGTAGAATATCTGCATGGGCTAAATTAACAAGGGATGGACTAAAAATAAAATCAATACGAGAGAAGGATTTATGTCTATTAGGAAAAAAAGTATAGTTCCTCCTATGTGTATAATGAAGACGCCATATATCTACCAAATTTAGGTCAGAAATAAAGTCTCTGAAAGCTTTACTTGCTATTGGTTTATTATAGTTAACTTGTCAAGTTCGTTTATGGTCGAATTATAATCACCTCCTACCAATAAATTAGATTCTGCTATGCCCAAAATTGTACTACGTATCCTGAGAAGAAAATCTGGAGAATGATCATTGGGTGCATACAGCGATGCTATTGCTATCCTGACCTGACATTAGTAATAACTACTAGTACAAATCTCCTGACCTCATCACTAAAAGTATAATGAAGGGTTAACGCAAGTGTCCTGTCTACTAGAATCAACACTCCCTTTGTTTTATTGGGGGCGCAAGAATATGCTAAAATTTTAAAATATTTCTTTTGAAAACGTAGAACATCAGCATTCCTTATATGAGACTCTTGAGTTAAAGCCAAAGAAACCTTCTTGCGATGAAGAAATTCTAAACATCTAGTTCTTTTGATGGGAGAATTCAGTCCATGGACATTTCAAGACATAACATTTAAATTATCCATCGAAAAACTTTTGAACACCAGTCTTTCTGTGTGTATCCATTAAAAACAATACTAACCGTAGAAACCGTCTGCCAGAAGGGAAGAGAAAAACTATTTACAAAAAAAGGCGCAAACCGCGAGGAGGGTTTTGCTAAACATAAACACAGCCTCACTTGTGACTGTATCAGCTGCAGCGCCGAATGCAGTCCACTCACCGAGTCTCACAAAACAGTTATTTCAGTTCCCTGTAGACAACCAAACTGACAAAAGAAAATGTAAATAAACACAATAAAAACTGAGTTTTTCCAACATTAGTCCAAGGAACGCAGAAAGCTCTCAGCCTCTTTGGAGGAGTTAGGGGTCATCTGTTGGCATCGGTGCTCAAACTTGAGAATTGCTCTGTAAATGAGGAAGGGGTGAAGCCCAGCGGTCTGCAAGTTTTTGATGACTTGGGTGAATTCTCTCCTCTTTGCAGGCGTGGTAGGGCTGTAATCGGGGAAAAATGCAAAGTGGCATTGCCATGCTTGATCGGATAAGCCTTGTGAGCCTCTTTCAGAATAGCTTGCCTATCGGCATACCTCAGCAGACGAAAAATGAACGAGGCTTCTGCGCTTTGGCTGTGGACTTATCGTATATATGATGGCAACGGTCGATTTCAATGGTACGACCGGCCAAAGATGGGATCTACTTAGGTAGATGAGACTGTAAAAATCCCATGCAGTCGGAACCTTCAGCTGATTCAGGCAGATGGCCAGCTTGCTAACCGTGTTGCTAATCTCGTGCTTGTTTGAGTGAACTGCCGCTTGCAGAAGAATCGATGGTAGACTGTCTTTTGAACCTGACTTCCTTGATGTTCCTTGACTTGATGTTCAAGATCTGCTGCTAGCCTCTTTAAAGCCTCATGCGCTGAAGAAATCTCGTTTTCCAGAGATGCCAACTGAGGTGCAAGAGTGGCAGCAATAGCTTCTTTCATTGCCCTGGCTACCGAAGCATCGAGAATTTGCTGCTATTCTTGAAGGGCCTGGGTAATTCCTTTCAAAATGGTGCCGTCGAGGTCAACTTTAGAAATCGCTTCCATCTCTCTGGGCTTTTTCTTGACTGATGAAGAATGTTCCATACCTGAGAAATGCTGGTGGTAGATGTAGGAGATGTGGAGGTCATTACAAGAACAGTACCAATTTGGTTAAGCCTTAAAGCAATGACATGAATAGAAGAGAAAACAAAGATTTCACAAACATTAGTCTGATCCAAGATTTTAAGTCACTTAGCATCTAGTTACCAAATCACGACGCAGATAGAATAATAACTTACTGTTTTAACTGTAACTGCAGCTCCAGTCACTCCCTCAGATTTCTGTTTTTATCTTCTAAACTCATGTGAGTGAAGCTGGTCTGTGGTGTGTTAAGTCTTTAGCCTGCTAGCCAGCAAGCTAACAACCCCACACATCACAGAACCTGGTTAGTTTCTCCTTTTCTGTCACTCCAATGCCAGACCCTCGACCTCTCTTACTCAGATTTGAGCCTTTATACGTTGTAGGTTAGGATAAGTTAGCTGGAACTGAGCCGGTCTTCCAGCAGAGCTATTGACTTAGCCTGCTAATGTTAGCTAAGCTTGCATAAACACGTTAGTTAGCTAGCTAGCTAACAACTCTAACAAGTGCACACACCAGTTTATTAGACATGGAACATAAATTCGATACTGTTCCAAATTCATTGAAAAAAAAAAAAAAACATTTCTCATATTATTTTGTGAGAGCACCCGTCTAAAAAAGGTGACTCACTAGGCTAGCTACCACAGCAAATAATGGCGAGCTAGCTAGCTAGCTAACTGACTGTTAGCAAATGACACTCATTCATTTTAACATAGTAAAGAGTTAAACATAACAAGTGATAGTATTAGGTTTGAGTAAATGTCTGACTGAAAAACTGTTGGTACGTCAAATAAACCAAGCATTTACTTACCAGACGTGTTTTGAAGCCTTCCGAAGTTTCCAGAAGCTGCTCTAAGCACGCACTTCCCATGGTGAAGCGTTGATGATGGCTCGGACCTCAGTATGGGTAGAGTCTGCCTCAATACAGGTGGAATCTGCCTCAGTGCGGGTAGAATCTGCCCGTGTATTTTTTCCCTAAACATCAGTTGCGGAGTCTCGCCCGTACCCGTCCCGATTCCGGTGTGTCAAAACAGCAAACAAGCTCGGGCCGACTCTTCATGTTAGCTGGGTTATTAGCCCTCTAGCATGTTAGCTAGCGTAATCTAACAGCCAGCCTGCTGTAGGAATATAACGTTGTAGCTATTTAGTCCAGCTACAGAGAACGTACAATATAAACCAAATAGAGTCTGCCAATGGCTGTTTTTTGTTAAGTGTTAACTTTTGCAGCAAAAATTATTTCTATGTGTAGTTTTGTACACTGGGTTTGATATACTCTGTTACATAGCTCTATGTTTATAGAGAATCGGTTGTACACTACTAAATCAGTTTGCTGAACAGCAGACCCGTCCCGGTACTAGAACCCATGTATAAATGTTATATCAACTTGAAATTGTCACTTGATGCAGAGTGTGTGTTATGAGACAGCCATGAATGCAGTATAGGTTGTTGAGTCAGTTAAATCATCATGTGAAAGTTGGGCCAACTGTATTTTTTTACATTTGCCTAACATTTGGCGAGTTGGATTTTTTACAGTGTAGATTAAATAAACATTCAGCAGAATGTTTATCAACAACGTATCGGTGATGTAGCAGTAGTAAAACATTCATTAGATTATCAAGAGACTTAATTAACCACATAAATAAAATTTGTTTCTATTAAATTTAGTTGTTTTTCACTTTGTGTCTGAATTCTTATCTGTACATATGAACCTGAAGTTCACTGAATATGTAACTATTATAATACAGACCATCTCAATGTCCTCTACAAGCTGACACTATTCTATAAGTGGACTATAACTAGATTAGATTAAGGCCAGGGTGAGGGTTAGGGTTATGTTTTGGGCTTTGGTTAAGATTAGAGTTAGGATTAGGGCAAGGGTGAGGGTTAGGGAATAGATTTTGGGTTGAGGGTAAGGTTAGGATTTGTATCAGGCCAGAGTGAGGGTTAGGAATAGACTTTGGATTGAAGTTAAGGTTAGGGTCAGGATTAGGGCCAGGGTTAGGTTTAGGTTTTGGGTAAGGTTAGATTTTACGTATTGGAAGTAACATATTACTTCCTGTAACATCAACTGTTCATCTACTTAATGTAAGTAATGTATCAACAGTACAAGATATTTACCTCAATGTATTCAGATGCTTCACTACTGCTACTTCACTGATATGTTGTTGATGTGTTACTGATACTCTGCTCATCTACAAAGAACCACTAAAGCGTTACCCTTTTTTTGCAAAAAACACTTAAGTGTTATTTACTTATGTGTTAACATAAAGGATGGCAGTACAGAAAAGAACACAAGAGGATAGTATAAAAGATCCTGGAGAATCTTAAGAAATTCTGTATTGACGAATGGTCTCAGATTCCTTGCTCTGTATTCTCCCATCTCTTCAAGAATTATAGAAGACTGTTGGAAAAAAGGAAGGTTGCACACAATACTGAAGGCAGGGGTGGCAATAATTGTAGCACGTGGTATCATTAAAAATATATACTGTTAAAAATATATTTTTTGATAAGAGTTTTCTTTTCCTAGCTTAAATTTATACCAATTAAAAGTTTCCTTATCCATTGTGAGATTCAGCTAATCAAGAACAATGATTATGGAGCTGACTGTGCTTCAGATGTTTTGACACTTGTTATAAAATGTGTCATTAAACATTATGGAATCTATCATGACAGTGACCAGTGATAGTAACACCTCATGACAGTATGACATTTTCCACAACATATTTATGGCATGGTTATACTAGTGTTATGTAGCAGGTTTCAAGTGTCATCCAAGAATACGGTTGGTCCACAGGCCCCAGCATTCAGTATCTGGAAAGAACCATGTTTCCTGTGCTGTTGCCTGGATTAGAAGCTATGTTGAGAGAAGCTCTGAAACACCGCTGTGTGAAGGTCAGATTTTTACAGGTCTTGGTTTTCTGTAGAACACCATATTGCATTTATTGAGATCATACCTTGTAATTATGTAATACATTTTCTTATATATCTCATATAGAAGGAAATAACTGCATTTAATGGCTGTGACTTTCTGACTGGATGGCTTTACAAGTAAGTGAAATGTAATTGTCATTTTACATTTTTAATTTAATATTATTTTATCATTATTTATCCGGAGATACTAATGTTATTTTTATTCACTGTTCTATTTGTCAGCAAGAATAAGAAGAGGACTGGTCAGACTCCTCTGGATTTCCATAAGATTCCCTTTGTCCAGGACTGGCTCAGTACACAGTGAGTGGAAGAGCACACTCGCATACAAAATTGCACGCTGTCCCTGTCTTACTTACTTCCAAATATCTTTCTCTGTCTCATTTGGTCATGGTGTTTTGCCCTGTCTTTCCCCTCAGTCCAAGGTCTACTGTCCCAATCTCTCTTCTACTGACAGATGAGCAGGCTGTGCTTATGATTCAGACATTCTGGAGAGGCTACAAGGTGAGACTCTCAGGCTGTTACACACTGAATATCTCATGAAAAATTTAAAATGCGAAATAATGTGCCACATTTTTTGCATTAAAATACACACAAGGTTTTTTTTGGTGTGTTTGTTTCATGGTATGGCAGATGCCTTGCTGTAGGAGATGCTAGCTCCACACAATTGACAACTTATCACCTGCAATGATTTGCAAAAAAAATCAAACAAAGGAAGAATAAAATAAAGTTTTATTTTCACTGTCTGGAAAATTGCATGTGGTTTTCAAGATATAATCAGTTCAAATGAATTGGCGTGCAAATAAATCATGCTTAATGTGCTCAAAGTCCTTTACTTTCAATTTGTTCCAAAAAAAAAAAAAACCCCAATTGTTTTTCTGTTACTCTCTATTTTGCTCATTAGTTTGCGAAAGGTAAGGATACCTTTCCTGAGTTAAATATACTGGCAGAAAAGTGAAATTTGCATGAGAAGGATCTAAATAAACCTATGTTTCATTTAGACTTTTCAGTTTTTAGTGATATGTCTTTATAATCACAGATGAGTAAGTTTCATATAGTTTGTAAAAAAATAAATAAATAAAAAAAGATGATACTATTCAAGTGAATGGGGCGAAAAGGAGTACAGTTCCTGTCTCCTTAAGTCTTGCGTCAACCGCTTCACCCCACTCCCTTCTCCTAGGGCAACAGCAGCAGCCTTTGCTGAAAGACTGCAGAGTAGGCTAAACAGGCCCAAAACAAAACAGTTTTTCATAAAATCAGCTCATCAGAAAATGTGTGTTTGGCTTGAAACACAAAAATGGCTTGAAATTCTCACAAGACCCTAACAATTATAAATTGTTTATTATAAAAATTGTCACAACTTTGCTGTAATCTTAAAGGGGGAAAAATTAATTGTTAAAGCTTGGTAAAATGGGCAGGGTTTCCTGCTTGTGTGAATAGGACTCTAGTCTCTGTTGTTTGCTTAAGGGAGGAATCAGTCCCGCTTCCTGCTCGCCAAAACTGTGTGACCACATTCCCAAAAACATTTTAACATGACGTCTCTCGGCTTTGTGTATCCTCTCTGCTCGTAAAAAAGCTCAAGTTCCTTTTTAAATACAAAAAACAGTGGAGGAGTTTTGAATATTCTACATTTGTGTATAAAATATTTATACACAATTTACACACATTTATTTATTACATATTATATTAATATATAATGACATTATTAACCAACAGTACATCTCTACATTCAGTTCTATTATTACCAAATTTGTCTAGTCTTTATCTGATTAACAATATTAGACGTAACCTTTTGTAATTCGAACTTTTTCGTCTTTTTATAGAAAAGGAATAACATTCTTTGGTAACAGCCTGTCATAAGTATTTATTGCTGCATCTATCATCTAAAATCAAGTAATCCTCAATGTATAGTGTTGATTAATTTGAGGTGATTCTTGAATGCTGCAAAATTCCTTTCATTATAACCTTCAATCCAGAAGAATTGATAAGAAAAAAGAAAAAATGTTTAGGATGGCAAAAGAAATTGAATTTGCTGGAAAAAGAACTATAGTCAAGAACATTACCATCCATCAAAAGACCTTCAAATGACATATTGACCATATAGCTTTTTAAAACCAGTCCTCAAAGAATATTGACCTAGAACAATGTAACACATATCTCTTGATCCATAAAGGTTTTTAAGAGGGGGGAATTGTGCTTATATACCAACTTTCACTATAACAAAACCTGCTGATGAAATGTTGAAATTTTAACAGGTAATGTAGCAATATCAAAATCACAACTGAAAACAAAGATCAACATTTTAAATCATTTACGTTTTCACATGCTATTCACACAATACAATTCAATAACATTCAGTCCACCATCTTCATATTGTTTAACCATATCATCTTTCCTGATATACTTTTCCAAATAAAATTTATTTTATATTTATTTATTTATTTTATTAAAAGTTATTTTGGTTAACATTTTAACAACATAGGAAGGTGCTGGGTAAATCACCCTAGGGAGACTTTCCATTTTAGTTGACAAAATCCTACCAAAAATGGAAATATCTCTTTGTAACCAACTCCTAAAAATATCTTTTGCTTTTATTAGGTTGTCCTGAAAATTATTTTTAACCACTAAATCCTTATCTTTTGTAATAACAGTACCCAAATACTTTACTATGTGCTTAACTGGAATGTTTTGAATTGGAGTTAGAAGACCATTATGAATGAGTATAAGCTTACATTTACTCATAAGAGTGGTATCATCTGCCAACAAACTAATACCAACAGAAAAACCAAAGATGTTGAGTTTAGCTACACTGTTTTTTTTCCAAGTGATGGCTAACATCTCTTTTATTAGGATAAGCAGGAAGGGTGCTAAATGCCGTTCCTGTCATTTCTCTGATCTACTGAAATATGAGGAACTGTTCTCACCCTCTTCTATCCAATTAGTTCTTGATCTAATATAGGCTCCTTTTGCTTTCTTAAAATAAATATAATCTAAATTAGATTGCAGCACTCTAAGTTTTTCTTTATCATCATTAAATTTGGCCATATTAGAGTAATACTTTATCTGTACTTAAGACTTTACTGAATGCAATGGAATACTCAATTTGAAATCTAATAAACTCCCATTTATTTGTGAGAATCCCCAGTATTGTTTTTAGCTTCTTCAATTAAGATTTTTTTATATGACAACAAAATTCTTCATTTTCCAAAAGGTCTGCATTCAATTTCCAAAAGCCTTTGTTGAATAAACTCCAAGACATAGGTTTTAAAGACAATGAAATGTCTGTCTGCTGTGGTCGGTCAAAGGTGCTGCTGAGAACATAAACATAATTTAACAGGTTGTCTGTAATAAGTCGATAATCAATTCTGGATTTGCAAGAGGCATCTGGCTTGCTCCATGTGGACTGTTAAATGTTTGAGTTAAGAATTCTCCAAATGTCTAATAAAATGTGAGTACCACAGAATTATGACATGTAAAATTAACTGGTTTCCCACTGCTATCTGGCTATTGGTAAAGAGATTCATCTGGAATCATATTGAAATCTCTGCCTACAATAATATTTTCTGTAGGATATGGCGCTTTTAAATTAAATATACAATCTGAAGTACTGTCAAGTACAACCTCATTACCAAAAAGGTTGGGATGCTGTGCAAAGTGTAAATAAAAACAAAATGCAATGATGTGCAAATAAATTAAACCCTATAAACAGGATCCAGAAATGCTGCCACCTTCTCTGGGCCCAAGCTCATTTAAAATGGACTGAGGAGAAGCAGAAAAGTGTCCTGTGGTCCGACAAATCAAAATTAAAATTCTTTTTGGAAATCATGGATGCTGCGTCCTCCGGGTTGAAGACCACTCAGCTTGTTATCAGCACACAGTTCAAAAACCAGTATTCATGATTAATAGAGGTGCATTAGTGTCCATGGTATGGGTGACTTGCACATCTGTGAAGGTACTATTAATGCTGAATGATATGTGTGTGTGTGTGTGTTTGTGTTTTGGCAACATATGCTGCCATCCAGATGACATCTTTTTCAGGGAATTGATTATTTCAGCAAGACAATGCCAAACCACATTCAACAGCATTGCTCCGTATTAAAAGAGTCCGGGTGCTAAACTGGCCTGTCTGCAGTCCAGACCTGTCACACACTGAAAAACATTTCACACATTATAAAATGAAAAGTAAGACAAAGAAGACCCTGAACTGCTGAGCAGCTGAAATCCTATGTCAAACAAGAACAGGAAAATATTTCACTTTCAAAACTACAGCAATTGGTCTCCTCAGTTCCCAAACGCTTACAGTGTGTTAAAAGAAGAGGTAATGAAACACAGTGGTAAACATGCCCCCGTCCCCACTTTGTTGGAATGTATTATTGGCGTCAAATTCAAAATGGGCATTTAAAAAAAAAAAAATGAAATTTCTCAGTTTCAACATTTGATATGTTGTCTTTGCAGTATTTTCCTTTAAAAATATGGTTACATGATTTGCATCTCATTGCACTCTATTTTTATTTAAATTCTGCACAGCGTCCCAACTTTTTCAGAAATGGGGTTGTAGTTGGGTATCATAATTCCTGGCATTGTGTCTATAAACATTGGTTAGAATAATAAAAAAATGTCCAAAACAACTGACATTTACATCTACTTTTGAACATACAATGTTCCCTGGGCAATTATTAAACAAAATAGAAACAACTTCGGAACCAGCAGTACCATGACTAAGTAAAACTTTATCACCCCATTGGTTAGATCAGGGGTCGGCAACATGCGGCTCTGGAGCTGCATGAGGCTCTTGTACTGCCCTGTTGCAGCTCCACAGGAGAATTAGATTTTTAGGTAAAAATAAAATAATTCTCCTGCAGTAAAACAAAGCTCTGCTGATTGTTCTAACACAGTTTTAACAATAAATGGTCTTGAATGCCTAGCTAGTTTTGTTTGTATTATATTTTTAGCCTATACTAGGACATTAGCACATCCTTATACAGATTTACAGCCAAGAGGGTAAATTGGACATAAACTGTTGTGCCTCCCAAGGTGGTTTGGTTTTTATTGAAATGACAAAATGGCACCTATTAACATTTGGGTTGCTGATCCATGGGTTTGACGAAAAGGAAGATTCCTTTGAGCTAGAATGTGTTTCTTGTAGAAAAATACACATCCACTGTTTTTACAAGACAAAAAAAAGGCTTTCTTTTCAAATTAGTTAGTGATTACCACAAACATTTAAAGACATAAAATAAAGTGGAACTTTAACTAAGAACATACAGATCCCCATTGAGTTTTTCTCAATAGCACTGCTAACATAGCAGGTACTAAGAACTTAGAAGCTCAAATCTCGTACCAGGCTTTACTAATTAGTCGGTCCCTTTTCCAGTTAGATTATTTACTCATATGCTATTCCTTATTATCCACTGCCTTCCCTGTTCTAAAAATGTGTCGGCCATTGATATATGTACAAGGCGCATGATAGTAGGCTTCCATCTTCCCAATTCTTAAGTTTCTGC